CGTGCTGTTGCTGGAGCAGAGACTCCCTGGACACCCAGAGCTGTTTTGTTTACTTGCTTGCTTTAATAAGTGACAATGTCCAAAATACATAATTGGGTTGCTCAATTTGTTTGATGTAATTTAAAACAGCGAGGAGGTTTACTTTGTTAAATGCTTACAATCTAGTATAGGAAAACAGGTAGGCGTACACAAATTTCTGTACATGCCAAATTCATCCAAACCTTGACTAGGGCATGATTTACTAAAACAACAATGCCACAGCCCAAAGACAAAGGTCTGCGCTCTCCTCAGCTGCAGAGGGCAGCAGTAACCTTCCCATTGAAATGCAGCAGGTCTCCCAGTAAAGAAATACTCAGGGCTGGACTGTGCATGCCCTTCAAGGCTCAAACAGGCTCAGAAGATCTAGAGAGGATCTTAAGTAAAATTGCACCCAAGTGAACTAGGAGAGCATGAACATTTCTGCCTCCAAGGAAACAGACACAACTTGCACAATGCTTACACATTTTCTCACTCCTCTTGTCTGGCCACCTTGTGACAGTAAGTCCTGTTTAGTGTTTATTTCTTATATTTGTGTTATTTGTTGAGTAATAACTTTCAGCATGTGCACCAAAGCAGAGAGCAGTTACTGAGTGAGGTGGTCAGAAGGGCAGCAGCTCCTGGCTGGCCATGTGCAGGGGCTTCTCAGCCATGTTTGCCAGTGAGGTGTGGGCACAGCTGGTAGAACAGCTCCTGGGGGTAATTTTTGGTCACAGAGCCCTGCAGTGCCCAGAACAAAGCCAGCAGCACGTCCCTATAGAGACCCATGTCAGGTGGGGCTGGGGCCGCAGCATCTCTGCTTCTTCCCAGTCTTAGCAAAAAGCAAGTCAGTCCAACAGCTCTGCTTAGAGGAGAACACGAATTTATTTCAGGCACATGGTCCTGGAATCTGGAAAACCCCGATGTCTCCAGGTGCAGGCAGTACTGGCAAGCATCAACATCAGATGGTTTATACACCTGACCTGCTTAACAGGAAAGGAACGGTGCCATTGCGTGGCTAAACTGAGCCCATCAGGCAGCTGTAAGGTAGTTGAGTCCTCAGAGTCCAAAGTGAGTAGAAGTTTGCTACAACACTCCATGCTTGGTTAAGGTAACTTATTTTCACAAAGTTTTGCATTATAAAAAATGAAAAAAAAAAAAAAAAAAAAACACCTAAACAAGTATGATAGGTGCTGCAAAAGAAAATCATCTTTTGGATGGAAAGTCAATGACTGTGTGCAATTTCCCCTGTGAAGCTGCAGGGCCTTCTTCCACTCCAATGTCTCTGCTGTCTGACACAACGGGAGAGCTGCTGTGGCCTCGTGTCTGTGCCTGTGCTCCTCCAGGATGAGCAGCTTTGTGGGAGAAGAAACCCACAGGGATTTGGGCCACAATTAAGAACTGCATCCTGTAAAGGAAAACCACAGATAAGAGGGAGGATCAGCAAGCAGCAGCACGGTCATCACAGCTCTGGGGGAGGTGTTGTATTTTTCTAAGGCTTGGTTATCCTAGCCACTGGAGGATGATGTCAAAATAACCATTTTGTCACAGGTATCTTTATGGCAAAGGACAGACATAAGTGAGAGCAACGTAAAAGCCAGCTGGGACTCAGACCAGCAGCACAGCCTTCTTACCAGGCTTCCTTCCCAGCAAAGCAATGTGATGGTGCGCTCCCTCCTCTCCCTTTCTTTCTTCCTTCCTTCCTCCCTCAGTCTGGCACAAGAAGACAGTGAGCAACACTCCTGGCTAAATTAGATTTATGATCACAAAACTGTCTCAGACTGGGAGGCTGAAAGAACTCACAGCAGACCTTTGGCTCAACAGCTGAGGGCCAGTTGAGCACGTGCCTAAAAACAAAGTGCAGCAATGAGTCAATTATCTTACCACCAAACAGAGAGCAGCACAAGCACCTCTTAAGCTCTTCTGCACAGCAGCAGGCTGCAGGACGAGCTCTTCCCTTGTTTGGAAATAGCCAAATAATTTATCAGGACAGTATCTCTGATAAAGCAGATTTGATTTGCAATTGCAATGCTGGGCCTCCTGCTGATGTGTGGAATCAAACTCTATAACCACAAAGTAGTTATAAAAGCAGCTATGTTTTAATCAGTGCTGCACAGACTCCGGGTGCAAGGGGGATCGTTCCTCCTAACTTGCACAACAGAGGGCAAAAGCTTGGTACAGATAAAGGCCGAACTAATACATAATCAATTATTTTCCTGGAATTCATACACATATTCACTACAATTCCAAGAATCCATCAGCATATGGTCCGTCCCTATTGCACGTGTGCCGTGGGCAGTGGGGGTCTCCTGGTGGTCATGGGATGAAGGCTCACTGTCTTCAACAGAAGTAATCTGATCCTGACCCGTTCCTTGTGTAATGTTTCTTCGAGTTTACAATAGAGTTTCGAGGTGTTCTTTTCTTATCTGGCCTCACATCCTGCTTACCTGCATTGCTATACAATGGTTAACCCTTATCTTGTCCTCTCTTAACTCATGCAAGCAGGAAAGCACACAGAAAACAGCATTACATCTTTTATGCCCTATAACTCGACACTTATCTCTTTCTCCCCTGAATCCTCATTGGCCGAGTACTTCAGGTTCACAATCTTCCCAACGCTCAACTAAACATACGGATACTGGATGAACATCAATTATTGCTGGCTAAGCATATATCGCTAATTAGTTAACTTCTCTCACTTGCTCACTCAACACTCGGTCCTTGTTTCTGGACATCTGCTCGTCCTTGCTTAGAGATAAGCTTGGAAGGAGGATAGGGGGGAGTATCTCGATCCCTGTCTGTTGCATCCCAACCTACCCACAGAGCAAGGCAAGCCAGCCTTGTTTGTGCAGAGGCCCTGGTTTCTTTGATGTTTCTTAAATCTGTTTTTCTTTTGCTGAGGGTCTCTTATCCAAACAGAATAGCCCTGCAATATGCTTTCTAGTCCATAATACTATACCTACACTATTTGGAACATTTAAGAGCTACTGCAGTTTTGCAAGCAAGAATTAATCACACAATTCAGCAACTGTATTTCTAAAATAGGTTACTAACACATATGGTATTTCTACTTTTTCACATCACCTATTTCTAAGGACAAGTTACAAAATACAAGTACATTGTGCTCTGCTTCTTCAGATCAATTCCCCCTTTTTAATATCTAATGCAGGAACAACATTCCATTCCTACAGCCTTGAGCAGGGATGCCTCTTGATGTTACACCTGCACAGAGATCCTTTCCACCTCGATGTCAAGACACCTTGATGGTACGGATCCTCAGTAAGCGACTAATAATTTGGTTTGAGCTTTGTCAGCTTCATTAAAGTTATATCTATCTATCCATACAGGATCCCTTGAACACAAACTGTCTGGGACTAGGAGTGGATCCAGCTGTGCTGAGGAACCTTACCTCTGTGGTTTGAAGAGTGCACACAGCCATGGGGTTGGCTCTGATCCTCATGACACAGCAGGAGAGCGTCCTGTAGGTGTGTGTGTAACCCTGTCCTCCATGTAGAAAATAACCCAAAGAGAAGAACCCCAATCACAAGAATTTAGAACGTTAGAAGCTCCGTCCAGCCGCGGTTCAAACACGCCGCTTCCGCCCGGCAGCGTTCCCACACCCAACATGGCTCCTCGACGGCTTCACCCGCTCCTCAGCGCCCCCCTGCAGCGCGTCTCCCCGCCGCTCTGAACATGCCGTGCCCTTTCTCAAAATGGCGGCCGCCAGCTTCGCCCTGCGGCCGCCCTGCCCGGGTGACGGCCGGGTCGCGTGGTCACGTGGCGGACGGCGAGGGCGGAGCGGTGGTGGACACCGCGCTGGCTTTGTCCGCTCGTCTTAGCAGTGCCATGCGGTCGGCTCCCGTGGGGTCCGGGGCCTCCTGGGGTCGGTGCCGCTTATGTAGGGGACGGTGCCTGAGGGCCGGGATCGGCGGCAGCGGGGTGAGCGGGGTGAGCGGGGCCGGTGGG